ATCCATCCATCCATCCATCCATCCATCCATCCATCCATCCATCCATCCATCCATCTTCTAACCACTTATCTAGTCCCCCTATTTCCCTATCTGTCTGTCATTCCATATACCCTTTCATCTACTCATCCATGTTCTTACCCATATGTTTGTCTGTCCGCATATCTCTCCATTCTTATACCTTTCCCTTCATTCATCTACCTCTCAGCCGTCACATGGCCACTCACCCAACCCACTTAGGGGTCCATCCACCCATCCCTCCACCTACCCACCCATCTGGTCACCCTTTATTGAGTACCTATTTAGCTCAGGGCTGGGAGCACAGGGATGAACAAGACATGCCTCTTGCACCCAAGAGCATACTGAACCAGAAGGAGAATTGGAGAAGCGGAGACTGGCGGTAGCCAGGATAGATCGTTATAATCCGAGGGAGAGAGGAATCATGTTATAATTAGGGGATCGTTATAATGCGAGGGAGAGAGGAAGAGGTGGAGGCAGAGGTGGGGAGAGGAGAGGAATGATGAGTGAGGAGCCAGAGAAAGCCTGAAGGCTTGGGTGACACTTTCAATATCGCTCTTAGACACACAGGAAACCCAGCTTACCTCCAACGCCTGGGACCCCGAAACCTGGGACCCCAGCACCCGGAACCCCAGCGCCTGGCACCCCAGCACCTGGGATCCCAGCACCTGGGCCACCTATCACTCCCCGGCCATAGCCAGGCACTAAACCAGCGGCTCCTGTGGAAGAAAGAGGCTGTCCTGTCTCTGAGGGCAAAGGCTCTGGGGAGCTGAGGGGTGAGTGGTCCTGGGAGAAGGTTCGTGCGGTGAGGGACTCGGGCATTTCTTCGGCCAGGGTCCACCAGCATGGGGGAGGGATGGAACAAGAACTGTCTCTGAAGCCAAGTCAGCACTTTGGCCAGGTGGGCACCCAGGCAGTTCTGGGAATGGGTGGACCTGTCAATAGGGAATCTAAGCAGGGGACATTCCAGGCAGAGGGACCAGCTTGGGCAAAGGGTAGAAGACATGGGAAAGCCCGGATGGGAGATGAGGAGTCGGGGCAGAGATGCACAGGGGTCTCTAACGCTGAGTCTCCTAAAGTGGGTGTTATAATTCCCTGGTGGGTGCTGGACCAATCCCCAAAGCAGATACCTATGCTTTGTCCTAGGAGCCCTGGCGGCCTAGTGGGTGATGAGGTGGGCTGCTAACCACAAAGTTAGCAGTTCGAAACCACCAGTCACTCCAAAGGAGAAAGACGGAGCTTTCTGCTCCCACAAAGAGGTACTGCCTCAGAGCCCCCTGGGGGGCAGTTCTACCCTGTCCTAGAGGGTCGCCAATCAACTCGATGGCAGTGAATGAGTTTGAGGCACTTTATCCTCGATTCTTGGCCTGAGAACAAAAGTCTTTCTTTGCTAAGGGGCGCTGGGTAGTTTTCTTTTTGGCCTGAGGAGGGGTTGTAGGCTAAATAAGCTTGGGGGTCTATGGTCTAACTGGTCCAGTCTCTGTGGAGAGGCCGGAGGAGGCACCGGCTGGCAGGAGGGATGGACCAGTGCGCCCCGGATGCCGCCGCTGGGGACACTCACCGTACTTGGCAGCCTTGGCAGCAGCTTTGGCAGCAGCCGCTCCAGCGGGGGTCCCGGCTCCTAGGGGGACAGCACAGGGTGAGCGCTGTCCCTACAGCCCCCTCCAGGAAGCTTCTGCCCTGCCCCCCCCTCCAGGGGAACGGGCATTACCTGCAATGCCTCCAATCCCAGGAATCGCACCAGCCCCACCGGGAACACCGGCCCCTCCGATCCCCACGCCAGGGAGAACTCCGGCCCCTCCAGCGCCTGCTGGGGTAGGGACAGGACAGGTGTGGCCCCCAGGCCCCCTCCTGAGGACCCCAGTCCAGAAGATCACTTGGGTACTGCACTTTCCCTGAACAAGGTCCAGGCGTCTCCTGCTGAGCCTGCCTGGGAAGCCCCCACCCTGCCGTTCCTGGTCTCAGCCCCTATGTGTCCATTTCAACACGCTCCTTAAGGGACTTGTATGTTTGGAGACAAATCCCATTCTAATCACAGCTGCATACTGAGAAACCACAGGCCACCGCTCCCGGGCCAGCGGGGCCCCTGCAGGAATGTTCAACGCTTCCTCTCTCTGTGTTCCGAAGACGTGGCCAAGTCTGTAATCCAAACGGCCTGGCCGCCCAGCTCTGGCAGCTCTGAGAGCCCACACCATCTCCACCAGCCTTAGGGCCAATGAGCCCTAGGCACCAGGGGAAGGGGGTCCTAGGAGCCTCCATGGGGCAGGGCACGGCCTCTCCCCGCCCTCCCCTGCACTCTGGGTCCCTCAGGTGGGCCAGGAGATATCCCTAGGGCCAGTGGAAGGGCTCCCTGGGGGATGGGAATGAAGGATAAGACTCAGTTCCCATGGCCAGCCCCCCAACTGGGGCAGGGAGTGTGGGGGTGTGGTGGGGGAGGGGCATGCCACATCTTCGGCAATGCTGTCCTGGGGATCATGGGTTTAAGGAGTAAAGATTTTATAAGGCATATTGATGGGCACATAACTATTAACATTTTAAATGTGCCCACGTACCCGACTCCATATTTGGAGCCCATTAAGGAAAGGTGCCAGGGCACAATGCTATCTCTCCAGGCAGCCTTGCTAGGGATTTTCCTAGGTACCACTAATTTATCTCCCCCTACAGGGCACACCCCCCCCCAAGCCCCATCTGCTGAGCGCTCTCTCTGGTTGTTGTGATAAGTAGATAGGGAGTGGTCGTGAGGATGGGTGAGTGGGTGGGTGAATGGAAGGGTGGATGGGTGGGTAGATGGATGAATAAATTAATGGGTGGGTGGATGGATGATGAGTGGGTGAGTGGGCAGATGGGGAAGGGGTGGAGAGATGGGTAGATATATGAGTGAGTCGGTGGATGGATGGGTGAGTAGGTGGATAAATGGATACATAGGTGGTTGGGTGAAAGGGTAGATGGCTGGCTGGCTGAGTGAGTGGGTGGATGAGTGGTGGGTGGGTAGGTAAGTAGGTGGGTCGATGGTGCGTGGTGGGTGGGAGTTGAAAAGGTTGATTCCAGATGATCAGTGTGGGCAGGTGGGTTAAGTTGGTGGTCTGTGGGACTAGCCCTCAGTGGGGACAGCGGTGGAGAGGACAGGGCTGGGGTTTGGCAGGTGGGGACCCCAGAGATACTCACCATACTTGGCTGCTTTAGCGGCTGCAGCCGCAGCCTGGGAGCCGACCCCTAGAGGAGAGGGGAGAGCAGGGAGATTCTGAAAATTGGGCTCCCGCAGCTCCAGAGCCCACCATCCACAAGCGGTATGGGCGTGGACCTCATCACAAGCAGGGACTGACAGAAGTGTCCCCACCCACCCTATGCAGGGTGGGCTGGCCTGCTTTCTGGGGAGACCCTGATCAGCCCCAGCACCCAGAGCTTGGATGATAAAAAACCTCCTTGGCTGCAAATGTGTGTGTGTGAGACACTTTTCTTACCTGTCCCTGTTGGGTACCCAGCCTTGCCCGCTGCACCAGCCGCTCCTCCGGGCCCATAGCCTGCAGAACAGAGAGGCCCATGAGACATCTGGACAGATTCTGCCAAGGCCCCACCCTGTTGTCCCCAGTCAAAGTACAAACACCAACAAGGTCATGTCATTTTATAGCCAGATTTAACAAACAAACAAACAAACAGCTCAGTGCTATGGAGTGGAAACTGACTCATGGTGACCCTATAGGACAGGGTGCAACTGCCCTTTGAGTTTCCCAGACTGAAGCCCCGTCTTCCTCCTCGAGGACCAGCTAGTGGTTTGGAACTGCTGACCTTGCCGCAAGCAGCCAAACTTCAACCCACTGCACCCTCTGGGCTCCTTACAGCCAGATCATGCCGGCTATTCCCATCTTACAGATGAAGACACCGAGGCTCAAAGAAGGAGAAGAATTCCTGCCCGGGGGAGGGCCAGGATGGAAAACCAGGCCCAGTCCAAATCGCGTGGAACTCTCAAGCTAAGACCCGTCCCTCTGTCAGCTCCGGTGGTGACTAGCCCAGGGCACCTCTCCAAGCCCGGCACTCTGGAGCCAGAAGTCCCTGCAGGCCCACAGGTGCAGGAGGGATGGACTTACCATAAGGCAGTTTGCCCGTGCTGTATGGCAGTCCGTAGCCACCTGGGAAGAGAAAGCCTCATTGGGACTCTGCCTACTTATGTGGACCTCCACCCTACAGCCACCACGGCCCAAGGCCCCTTGTGGCCTCCCCTGTCGAGCGGGGTCACAGCTATCCCAACATGGGGGGAGGTCCCCTCAGATCTCCAGGTTCTCGGGGGAGCAGAAATCTGTGCAGAGGAGGGAGTGGGCATCTCTGCCCCAGGACCTGCTGGCACAGCCACACCTCTACAAATCCAGGCCCAGCTTGGACCTGGACTCTGAACACCATCCTAACTCCCCACCTGCTCCAACCAACACCTGGCTGTTGGAGCCTCCGGCTGTGGGGTCGGTCAACATCAGATGGGTCTTACCATCCCACCAGAGGTTTCCCATCAGTGTGATGGGCCTGTGTGTGTGCACATGCGTGCTCCTGTGTCAGTACATATGTGTGTGTGTGTGTGTGTATGACTGTGGAGGTGGGGCCAGCACCTTGCAACCGATGCCCACTTGTTTTTGTTTGCCGATGACCAGAGGGGGCCTCGGTCCCGGTCCTGACCCCCCTCACCTGGGTCACCTGTAACCCAAAAGGTCCTGCTTCTGCTGGACCCTCTGCACCAAGGCCCAAGGAGCTGAGCGGCCTTTGACGTCCTCTCTCTAACTTACCTGGGAGTTTGGGTGCTTTGATGGGGTACCCCAATGGCACCCCAGGCTGCTGTCCCCCAAAAGGTCCAACTCCTAAGGGGGAGAGAGACTCATATTGGGATCCACCTCCTTGGGGGTCATCCTCCTGCTCTTTCCTCGGCAGCTCCCCCGCCCAGCGTCTGAGGGGTGGGGTATCCGGGTTCTTTGGGCAACTCATGGATGAGGGTGGGGAGGCAGGTCTGAGTGGCCACAGCTAGGGTTTCCCAGATCTGGGGCAGGAGGTACTAAGCGTGTTGGGCTGGCCTGGGTGGGTTTCTGGATGCTCAGCCTTGGGACCCTGGGGTGAGAGGTCCTGTCTAACAGGCATCCTGATAGCCCCCCAACCAGGAAAGACCCAGCCTCACTCACCTGGGATTCCTCCAAAAGCCCCGCCCCCACCTGCAAGGAAAGGGGCCTGTCACTTCAGCCCTGGCTGGCACTTTGCTTGAGCACCTAGCCAGTACCCAGCCCGGGCTGCCCACCTACCTGGGGCCTTGGCCTTGACGCCGGTGCCGGTGGGAACTCCAGGAAGCACACCTACACCTGGGAACCGACCTCCTGGGGGGCAGAGAGGGCAGACAGTGAGGCTCAGGGTAGCAGATGGCTCCCTGGGGTCTTCAGCACCAACTGCCAGCTCCCGTCCCAGGCCCACTGGGTGGGCAGAGGGGAGACCCTTTGGGTAGTGGCATTTCTCCTTGTGTGGCCCGGGGTCAGAAGAGCCCTACGCTGAGTCTGTGCCCAGCCTGCCTCTGAATGAGGACCACCTCCTGGGCCACAGGAGGGCCAGATTAGTCAGAGAGTAGAGCAAGGCAGGCACACATAAGCCTATGCTTACCTGGGAGCCTCAGCCCTGGCATGGATTGTACATGGGGAAAGGGACTTTGATTCTGGAGGAAAGGGCCGGGGGAGGGAACCATGACAGCATTCCTCAGCTTTGGAAAACACACTGGGAGTGGTTCGCTTCACTTTCGGCCACTGAGTTGATTCTGACTTCTGGCGACCCTCTAGGACAGGCTAGAACTGACCCCAGGGGTCTCTGAGCCTGCGCATCTCTGGGGGAGCAGACAGCCTCATCTTTCTCCTATGGAGCAGCTGGTGGGTTTGAACCTCGGACTTTGCAGTTCAAGCCCTAAGTAAGCACGAGTAATGGCTTTGCTCATGACCTTGCTCATGGGACCACCAGACACTGTCTGAGCCCCCTCACCCAGGAAGGCAGGGCGGGAAAAGGTTTTTAACGTGGAGTGGGTGCTCCCTGCAGGCTGAGGGGGTGGATGTCAGGGGAGTTAGTACCACACCTTACTATTCGTGCCCAACCACACACGTACACACACACACACACAGCACGTATGCCCACTCAATGCCCAGATGCACTATGTGCCTGTGTTCCTGCCTCTCCCATCTCCCCTGGAAGGCAGGGCTGCGGGGTCTCTGTCAGTGAGGCCTGCAGAACTTCTTGGGCCTGGGCTTTTCAGGGAATTCAGGAGGCCACACGTTGGGCCCTGGTAGGAAGGGGGGATTGGCTCGGGAGTCCTCCAGGGGTTCCTGCAGGGTGGTTGGCTGGGCAGGCCCCTTGGTGACTCACTGCTCCGGAGAAAGAGCTGACTTATTCTTAGAGCCTGCCTTGAGCTACGTCCATGGGCTAAGCTGGGGGTCAGTGGAGATGGGGTGTCCCTGACTGCCCCGCATGGGCTCAAGGCCAGTGACCCACCTGTCTGTTAAACTACTCATGGGCACTTAGGGAAACAGTGCTGGCGGGGACCTCTGGCCTCTGCTGGCCTCAGCTAGACAGGGGAACCAGGGGACTGAGGGCTGACTTTCTCCCCACCTGGCCCTCCTTGCCCTCACCTGCGCCTGGGAGCACTCCGCCTGGGTACACACTTGGGAGCCCCACACCTGCGATCAGAAGAAGAAGGGCGGTGAGCTGCAGCCCTGCTCCCAGGAAGCCATCCCAGCCCATGCCACCCAGGCCGTCTCCCGGCTCCAGGACCAGCGCTCCTGGGTCCTCAGGGGGCAGCCAGGACGGATGTGGGGCGGCCGGAGCCTTCTTCCTGTGTTTCCCCAAGTCATCTGCCAACCCCTCGTGCATGGATCGCTTGTCTCCTGGAGCCTGTTTACAGGGCGGCCCAGCCCTCTGCTGGGCTAACAGCTTCCAGATGTTCCCTCCCTGCTGTGAGGGCTTTGATAGGCTTTTGTTTAACCTGAAGGAAGTCACTTCTGAAGAAGGGGCTGAGGGCAGCTGAGCCAAGCACCAACCTGGGTCTCCGTGGGCGGGGGCTCCTGCCAGCTCTGCCATCACTAGCGCTGAGCGCTTTGGCATGGACCTCCCTGCCCCAAGTCTCGTTTCCCCATTGGGTCCCTGGACATCGTCTCAGCCAGGATCTTGGGAGAAGGGCTTGAGCATCTCTCCCCAACATTACAGACCCCAGGGACCCCCTGGCTTGCTTCTGCCCCCAGGGTGAGGTGGGGAGGCCGCCCTCCGGCCCCAGGGACTCTAAACTCACCGGGCACTTTCCCAGGCTTCCCTACGGGTCCCACGCCAACTCCTGCTCCGCCGGCCTGTGGTACCACGGCACCTGCCACGGAAGTCAACCACGTCAGGGTCAGCAACACCTGGGCCTGCAGTCTGGGTGGACTCAGGTGCAACCACCCTACCTGTAGACACGCCTAAGCTACCCACACCACCAACACCGCCGACGCCGCCAACACCGCCGACGCCGCCAACGCCACCGACGCCGCCAACACCGCCAACACCGCCAAGCCCAGTATCTACAGAGCAAGAAGTGCGAGGGGGGAGAGGTCTTGCAAGGGAAGCAGAGGGCCTCGGGCCACTCAGGCCCAGCCATCTCACCATGGCCTGGACTTCCCGTGGGCCAGGGGGGACGGTGGGCCATGGAGGGGGCTTGATCTGCCCTCCTTTTGGTTAGCAGCCAAGTGTGTTGACTGTGGGCATCACCCAGGGACTTGTTACTACCCCTCACCTCAGAAACAGGAGGCAAAGATCCCACCCACCTGCCTCCAGGGGGCCAGGCTGAGCTAAGTGGGAAGACCAGGAAGTCCAGGGAGCTTAGGTCACAGTGCCCAAGAGAACAACTCACAAAGCTTGTCAGCTTTATAGGCCCCGGCCACGCCAGCTGCTCCGCCAGGTCCCAGCGCCCCCGGGTAGGTGCCTGCAGGAAAGGTGTCTAAGTCTTGAACTGCCTTCCTGGCCCTGCTCTGGCCCAGGCAGCACAGTCCGGGTTTTCTGCAGGACTCGGGTGTCAAGCCAGGACCACTCGTCCTTAGGACCAGCTTCCATGTTGTCGACCGATATGGGCTCCACTCCTAAGTGCTCCGAGGTTGCACAAAACTGTGAGCACCTTTCAGGGGCGCACTTCTGCACTTCCTCCTGGAGAGCCTGTCTTGAATCTCGAGGTGCTGAGCGGCTCCCCTGAGCTCCTCAAACAGAGGTTTCCTCCACCTTAGCCCCCCCCTGCTGTGCTCAGAATGCCATGGGGACCTCCCTCCCACCCCGGCAGATGTTCCAAGCCTGGCTAGCACCCCCTGCACACTGACTGTCCCCATGATGGACATGGCTCAGGTCTCTGATCCCCTAGAATGCCGTCTGTCCTGTGCGCCGAGACCCACCTGCTCCAGCGCCTCCACCTGGGAGCCCCCCTACACCTGTAGGAGGAGGGAGAGGTGAATGAGGACAGGCTGGTGGGTGGGTCACTTCCTGGGTTTGGGGGTACGGGAGGGTGTGGTGTTGGGTGGGGGGCAGGGACCTGGCTGTGCCGTGGATGAACTGGGGCTTTGGGGACATGGGTGGATGCTGACCAGAGTAGCCGCCCTTTGAGGTCACTTGTGCCATGGAGACAAGGCTTTCCACAACAGCCTGTGTTTTCCCAGAAGGCCCGACAGCAACCGTGTGATGCTAACAGAGACCCACAGGGCCGGGGTGGCCCTGAGGTGGCAGCGCAGAGATGAGCCCTGGAGAGACTCTGTGTCCAGGATCCCCCCTGGGGCCAGCCTTGACCCTGTAGCCCAGGCCATCTGTCTGTCTATCTGTCCAGCCTTCCTGGAGCCTGTTCCCTCGATGCTACCCTGCTTTTGAGAAGCCAAATGTGGGTCCCCTTGGCTCGCTCCTTTCCACATCTGGGCCCAATCACGCCTTCTTCCCCCGGCAGGAGACATTCCTGGGCCTTGGCCGGGGATTCACGGGCAATCAGGTTGGTGTTCACAACGGGGCCGGATTTGTTTCCAATTAGAGGAGAATCTTTCCTGCAAGTACCAGTCCTAGGCTGCCAGGGGGCCGGGCCCTAGGGGAACCAGCTCCAACCCTCCTAAGGGACGGTGAGTCCTGGTTTCCACTGGGTATGGCCCCCATTGCCTACTTGTGGGACCTGGTCTTCTTCCAGGCTGCCGGTGGCCAGATCAGGCCTGGGGTGTGCCTGTCTGTACTTGCTGGGGCCCTGGGCCTGGCCCTCCCCAGCGTGGGCAGTGGCTTCTCTCAGCCTAGCCTGTTTCCTGAGCTTTCAGAAGGTAAGGGCCACCCTTGGCCATTTCCTAACCACAGAGGTACTGGGCAGGGACAAGGAACTGGGCAGGAAATGAGAAGAGGCCGAGCAGGGGTGGAGAGGGAAGTCAGGCCCGTTTCTGCCAGGTCCAGGTACCCCCACATCCCGCTGTCACCGGCCCTTTCTCTCACCACTGTGGAGGCTGGGAAGGGTCTTTGGACTCACCTGTCCCATATGGTCCCAGGAGTCCGGCACCTGCAGGGGAGGGGACAAGGTGAGGAGCTATCACAGCTGGGAGCTTGGGGCCTGGCTGGCCCAGCCCCCACCTACTCTCCTTGTCTGATGAGCAAATGACCTCACTTTCCAAGACTTAGTTTCCCAATCCATGAAGTAGCCACTGGGTCCCCTACCTCCCAGACCAGTGAGCTGGTGAACGGAAATAGCCCAGTTTGTGGAGCCTGTGGGTGCCCCATGGTGCCCCCCGACTCCTTCCCATCCTTCTCGGGCATCCGGCGGTTCGTAGGATGCCACATGCCCACTCTGAGCAGCCGGGTCTCTCGCTTCCAGCTGTCTCAAGACCAGAGTCCGTGGGGAGAGGCTGCAGGCCACCCACCCGCGACCTGCTGGGGGATTGATTGTTGCCAAAGCCACTGACACCGGCTGCCTGTGCCCCTCCATGTAACCTGGGCAGGACTGCACGTGTGGTGGGGGCAGGGCGGCTCCCATGGCAGGGGATGGGGGTGGAGGGGTCTGTGGCCCTGAGGCGGAAGGATGGCCTCAGGGAAGGACAGCAGAGGGAGAGGCCCTCACTTTCTGGTTGGTTTCCTTGTTCACCTCGCACTGGAAGTCCTTCTGCAAGTCTCACCTAGATCCCCCATGGATGAGAGCCCCATTTTTGTAGCCATCCATTGCAGGCCCTAGGAGTCCCCGTGACGCAGTGGGTTAAGCCCAGACTGCTAACGTTGGCAAGGTCAGCAGTTCAAAACCAACAGCCACTCCGAGGGAGAAAGACGAGGCTTCCTACGACCATCAAGAGACGGGCCAGCTCTACCCTGCCCCGTAGGGTCACTATGAGTCGGCACTGCCTCGATGGTAGTGAGTTTGGTTTGGTATTACAGACTCTGAGGGAAGGGGTCTCAACCCTCCTCCTAGTGCATAAGCCCCACCCGCTGAGTCTCTTCCACTCCCGGGGATGGGGCAGCCCTTCCCTGCAGCCTCCCAGGTGTGGTCTCCCAGGCTGGACCTTTGAGGCCAAGCGGAGTGCCCACCGGGATGCTCCTTCTCCTTCATCAAGGGTCCTGTGAAGGTCCCTCACTCTGAGAGGCAAGACGGCAGAGCAGGAGCTGGGGGACCCCCTCACCCCTGCGTCCTGCCTCCCTGGGCCCCAGTCCTGGCATTTCACAACCCAGACGGGCTTTCAGGGCAGGCAAATCTGGGTCTTGCCGACTCATCTGTGCGTGGATTGTCGAACACCAGGACTTCATAAGACCCGTTGGGCAGCAAGTCGTGTCCTAGAGCCTCTGGCTTCAGAGCCAGGGTGACAGGGACAGGGTGGCGGCGGGCCAGACCACATGTGGACCGTCTCATGCCGGCGGGGCCAGGGACTGGACAGGGAGGCCATTTGCGCCACCTGTTCCCCATATATTGATGGTCTCCTGTCTTTCCTGGGGTCTTCCATGGGGCTGGAGAGGGAGCTGAGCCAGGCCGAAAGGCTGAAACCGGGACCAAGCCAACCACACCTTCCTGCTGGCAAACTCCTCAGCCGGAAGGGGCCTGGTCAGGAAGCGAGTTCATCAGGAGCCCCCGCCAGTCTGGGCTTGGGGTCCAGGCTCAGCCCTTCAGAGTGGCCTCCGGGGCAGGGCTGTCTGAGGTCAGGGGTTGCCTGGGTGGAGTCTGGAACCCGCTGAGTTTGAGTCCCACCCAGCATGCGGTCAGACTATTGGGTTATGGTAGCACAACACCCTTAGCGTCCAGCCCCAGGCTCATTTCGAGGCCCCATGCAGGGGGTGGTGGGGTGAGCTCCAGGCCGATGGCCTGTGAGCAAATGCACATTGTGGAAGGGCAGGTGCCCAAGACGATCGCGGGTGGCCAGCAGGCTGTCTCCTGCCCCTCTCTTGCAAGTCCAGGGGCTGGGGGCTCCCTGCTGAGAGCTGGGGGCTGCCAGGGCCTGTCACCTCCCGTCCACCTCCTTGCCAGCCTCACGGTTCAGCAGCTGCCCCCCACCTAAGTCAGCCGAGTCCGGCCGCCACTGCTCCAAGGCCTGGGGTCTTACCTGGCTTGGGGGGTTTGCCACCAGCCCCTAAAACTGCAGAAAGAAGAGATGGCAGTGAGTGGGGGCCAGGCCACCCTTTTCATCCCCCTGAGAGTGAGGGGTCATTTGGGAATCCCCCCTCCCATGTCCTAGAGGGCTTCCAAAAGGGTCCTCCCCCTCAGAGAGTCCATCACCCAGACAGACCCCTGGGAGGGAGGGTGGTGGCAGGAAAGGGTCTCCTAGGGCAGCCCCTGATTCTAAGTTACACTCCCTGAGTCCCCGTTTCTCAGCCCGGAAAAGCAGATGAGGTTTCTGAGGCTTAAAGAGAGAGACGAGGAGGCAGGGGCCCTCAGGGGGTCAGGGGGTGTGGTTCCAGGACAAGTCTCCCCCACAGAACACCCAGACTGGAAATCGAGGGGGGGCCTGGCTGTTGGGGTCTTGCAGGCACTGGGGTGCGTGTGTGGGGGCTACAGTGACGGTGGGGTGGGACGGGAGGCCCTGCTGCAGGGACTTGGTTTCTAGCTCACCTCCTCCTCCCAGGCCTCCTCCCAGGCCTCCTCCCAGGCCAGCACCTGTGCAGGGCGAGAGAGCCGTGAGGGAAGCCCGTCTGTCTCGTCTAAGATGCTCCTGTCTGGCTGCCGGCCTCTGGCAGCTCTTAATCCCTGTCAGTCTCTGCTTCCTCGTCTGTCGCAAGTCTTGAAAGCGCGACTTCTCGGTTTCCAGAGGACTTTAAACGAGGATTCTGGTTTGGTCCCAATGAACATCAAAACGACCTCTCCCCCTTCCTAACACCATCGCTCCAACTCTGCCCAATTTCTCTGGAGGGGGTGGGGTCCCCAGTCTTCATCTGTATGTTACCAGTTTACCCCACTACTGAGGTGGGCTCTGACTGGGGTCACAAGTGAATGTCTTCTGTTACACTGTTGCAAAGAACAAGCTTAGAAACCTTGTTGCACATTGTGCAAAGTACCGCGCGCCATGCGCGCGCGCACACACACACACACACACACACACCTCTTTTCCCTGCCCCCCTTTCTTCTTCCCCTCTTAAGATTCTTTCTGCTGAATGATTATCTCCAGGAACGAGGCCAGGGGAGGTGGCCATTCTAATGCCACTGTGTGTGCCCCGCTCCCTATGCCCCCTAACCCCACAGGGGTCAAGTGTCCAGTCTAGAAAACTTGTCAGTTCAGGTTCCTGTCAAGTGCGAGGACAGAGCCACCAGGTCCGCAGG